ATCGAAAACATTAGCATTGATGAAACCTTCACTGATTTCTATGTGAACTATGTTTTCCAAGACAACGACCAACCTGACCGCTTTTTATCATAAATTATTTTCATTTTCATATTCATCGCTAACCTCCAAATTGTTACGCAACAATCTTTTCATATTTGAAATTTTCAATCTCATCTATTTTTAAATCACCAGAAACACGATTGTTCTTCTTTGAATTTCTTTCATCTTCTTCGAATCTTTATTGTCCATTTTTGATATTCACTACATTGTACTTTAGAAATGTGTATGACTTATTAACTGCAGAAGGAATTGCCATAAGTTGACAAGTGTTCAAGACACAACTACTCTCAATAAAAATTCATTGATAAACAAGCAGAATAGCTAAAGATGATGTAACTAAAGTCAGCAAAAAGAACCGATCATTATATATCTCGACTTCATAATAAAAGACGGACATTCAACAAACATAACGAATACTACATAGAACTGACAGTTATAATGTTCTCTTATTGATGCATGATAATAACTAGCTAGACTTAAGTCTCATTTAGAATTTTTATACTTTTTTTTCAAGAAGGTTCTATATCCATTATAATTACCTACTCATGTTGAAAAATTTTGACTAGATAGAAAAGGATGCATCATAAAAAAAAGTAGATTAAAAGATTCATTTACACAGAGGAGATAGAAGAACGCAGCAACAACAACAACAAAAAAATAGAACAGGAAAACACGAAACATGACTGTCTAAAACAAAAAAAATTTGCCAACTTTCATCCTTTTTTCCTGTGTCTTATCTCACTTTCCTTGAAATTATGTCCAACTAGATTTTTTCCTGTGTAGTGATATGATTATTACAAAACAGGGTGATAATGATGATAATGATGATGATGAGATTTAACATGAAGAACACGATAAGTAAACGCATCAATACATTAACTAATATATATATATATATATATATATATATATATATCACCATCAACAACGACAAAAGATAGTAAATTTACAAATGAACACAAGAGAATGACCAAACAGAATCGTTGAAACAAGTAGATTAACCAAGTGTAATTGAAGTAAACTCTCATGAGACTATAGACAATATCAATTTTACACACGTTCGTCGTTATATATGTATGTAGATGTATATATATATATATATATGTATATATATACTCATACACGAAGAAACAATACATGCTACTTAAACAAGACTATAATGAGTAATGAGAAAAATATTTAAAAAGAATAATAAAACGTCTATACGTTTACATTAGTTCACAATGAAATTAGATCAGTGAAATAAGAATAGAAAACTTAGAGATTTAAATGAATTATTCAAAGACTAAGATAGAGGATGATGAAGAGAAGATGGAAAAAAAAGTAAAACATCACTGAACATGCATAATATGTGATGTCTATAATTATATACAGTGTAATTTATTCGTTATATAAAAACTAAGATGTGTTATTGAGTAGTTTGTTATTGTAAGATCATCATTTTTTTGTATTATTTAATCACTTTTAAAAAAGTGAAAGTATTGTCTTGATATAGCCTTTATTCATAAAAGTCACCCCATTACACAAGCAAGTGGCGATCAGGACTCAGTCGCTGAGTGGATAACTCGATAGCCCCTGAAGCGAACGGCACTGAGATAGAGTCACAGAGTGAACATTAACTCTGAGGTGCAGGTACATTAATCTGACGAGTCTCAAACAGAGCGAAACGCGCATCCTGGATTCCACTGCGGGCCTATATATATCATTGCTTATATGGAGGTATCAAGGAGGTACAAAATGTAAGACATACTTTTCTGAAGGGTAAAATCTAAGTTATCACGTATATTGAACGACCGATCAACACGAAATCCGACCTGTTGATCTTGAAGTCAAGCGTCAACTGTGTCTTTCATCCGGTTGAGCAATACTCTGTTGAAAACGTTTCCTCGTACTAGTACTGACAACAAACTGGTGCCTCTGTAATTCTCACATTTGCTCAAATCTCATTTCTTTGGTATCTTGATGAAGCTGGCCTATTCAGCAGTTCCTCAAAGTATTCTGCATATCTTTTCCTCTGTTCTTGAATCTCTGTGATTGTTTTTCTTTCTTTGCCCTTGACTGTTCTCTATGGTTTGCTAAATCTCACTGCCAATTTCTTCGTTGTATCATTTAGTTGTTTCATATTCCCTTCTCTTGCAGCTTTTTCCGCCGTCGTTGCTAGTTCACCCATGTATTCCTGCTTGTCGGCCTTAATGCTTTTCTTCACTTGCTTGTTTGTTCTACATAGTCGGCTCATCATAGTGAACTCATTATTATTGAGTAATTCTACTAAATCGTTCACACAACTTTCCGTTGAACAAGGCAGATTATTCAAGTAACTACAATTCGCTCATGCTATAGCCCATGCGATCCGGAAAACACACTAAACCATAGTCCAGGCATAGCTAGAACTCATACCTTTGATAAGGATGCTCTCGGTTTTTTTACACTACACACTCCCTTTTTAAACTTATTACTTATTAACGCACGTTCACTTCTGAACAAAATTTCAGCCTTCAGAACCTTAGCCTTTCTAGCCAAGCCTTCTTTTATACTTATCGCTGAAACGTGGTATTATCCAGCAGTGGCTGATTCTGAATTAAATATCCAAAACTATCGACTCTATCGCTGTGACAGAGAAACTAAGCGAGGAGGCGGTTGTCTTATATTTGCTTATAGGTTACATAACTCGAAACCTTCATAACAGCGAATCTCGTATATTAATTTACAAAGTCTGTGTTCGACCACTCCTCGAATACTGCGCGTTTCTCCTCAGTAGCACGCGCATTAAGGATAAATTAAGACTGGAATCAGTACAGAGACGATTTACACTTCGTACTCTTGGAACTGAAAGTATCTTGACATATAATTCGAGATGTAGTAAACTAGGGCTTGACCCCTTATGGAAGAGGATACTCAAACTTAACCTTATCTTATTTTTCAAAATAATTAACAAACTCTCCTTCACATTCAGCCAGGCGATTCAATACGCTAAAGCCTCACATTACGACATTCGTAACTCCTTGTCTTTAGCGAAAAAAACATATTCTAGATCTTCTCTCTATGTGAATTACTTTGCCTGTAAGTTTTCTAGGCTCTTGAATAATTTACCTCAAACTATCCGTACGTTAAACTCTCTTCCATTGTTTGTTCGCTCAATTAATGCCTTTTGCTCCTCTGAAAATGCATTAAATGCTCTAGCGTCTGCAAGTGTATCTTACTCCACAAGTGAGATTATTGGAACTTTAAATGTTTAACCTCTTACTTGCTATCATTGTTTTGTTATTCCGTGCTCTTTGCTTTAATCTTACTTTTTCTAGTTGTAGATAATTATCAATAACTCGCTTTGGCACTAGAAGTAACCTTACAGAACATCAGGCTATCCAATTAAGAAAGAATGTCAAGTTCCCTGGTGTTGCATTTGGCCTGCTACATATAAACTATTTATCAATTACTTAACCAGCAAACATAAAACTTTCTTATATTTCATGTTTGCTCTCTACATTAAATGTTGCTTGTTACATCAATCTGATCATGCCTGTAAACTGGTGTGAATTCGGTAAATATTATTTTCAGAATATATTAGTATTATTATTAAAGATTTATATCTCTCAATGTTAATTAAGCAACACACTAGTCAAAATTATGTGAAGTTACAAAGTCAGTATTTTCTACTCATGTTATTAAATGTGTTGATAATACTCATAAAATAAAATCTGATTTGTCAACTGAGTGACTTTGACTATTAAAAGATTATTGTCAGAAGGGGTTTTGTGGAGATTTTAGTAAGTTATAGAGTTGAGATCATGAGTCAATTGAAGCTAGAGCACCATGGAAAACCTGTAAACACTGGACGGCCGTTTCGTCCTATTATGAGACTCCTCAGCAGTGCGCATCCACGAACCCACTCTCGCGGGATTCGGACCCAGCACCTACCAGTTTCGAGCCGAAGCCCTTAACCAATAGACCACTGGGCTGGCATCCAACGGTGTTAATGTCTAACTTCAACTGATTCATGAAATTGCGCTTCGGCTGGAAACTGGTAGGTGCTGGGTTCGAATCCCGCGAGAGTGGGTTCGTGGATGCGCACTGCTGAGGAGTCCCATAATAGGACGAAACCGCCGTCCAGTGCTTCCAGGTTTTCCATGGTTGTCTAGCTTCAATTGACTCATGATCTCAACTCTATTAAAATATTAACTTTTTCATTGTAAATACCTGGATTACTTATCATCTGAGTACTGTATCAGTATTGTGAATTCAATATGTTTCAAAGTTGCTTCTAACAATTATTATCAGTAGTCTACCATTGGAGTAAATTTTAATTCATTCATAGAATAGAATCCAGACTATTAGGTTGTGGGTTACTTATATCCACATAAGTAGTATATAAAAGTCGTTGCACATTAAATGTATTTCAGTAGAAGATCGATAACAAAAAAGTGTTAACAAAATGCAATTGGTACAAAATTACATGAACAATAAAAATTAGTAACAATGAACTGATATTTTCATAAGGAAAAATCAAGATTGAGACAATTGATTGATAGTTTACAAATTAATTATTTACTGTATGGTTTACATATTTTACTGAGACATTCTGTAATTTTGTGCCTAATTACATTCAGTTATCTCCACCAATATTCTTATTCATTACACTATGATCTAATCAATTTTATGAGCTAATGAATTGTTTCCAAGAAAAGAGACTCCTTATATGTAGACTTATTCTTCAAATATACACATTCACATTTTTTTTAAATAATGGTACTAATACTGGTATAGTTGATATATGACTTGATGAAATATAACTTAAGCCAAAAAAAAAGAAGATGAACTCATTGTTGATAATTATCTACTAATTGGTTTAAATCCATTTAATTTGAGTAAATAAATCGAAAATCATTTTTTTATTATTTATTTTGTTTTTTTTTTGTTTTTTGTTGTTATGGATTTCATTTTAATTAGAGATGAAAAATGTAATACGAAAAATCTATTAAGGGGAATCTAATTGGAATTGAGTTTTTCATTACTCTATTATTATTATTATTATTATTATTATTATTAGTAGTAGTAGTAGTAGTAGTAGTAGTAGTAGTAGTAGTAGTAGTAGTAGTAGTAGTAGTAGTAGTAGTAGTAGTAGTAGTAGTAGTAGTAGTAGTAGTAGTAGTAGTAGTAGTAGTAGTAGTAGTAGTAGTAGTAGTAGTAGTAGTAGTAGTAGTAGTAGTAGTAGTAGTAGTAGTAGTAGTAGTAGTAGTAGTAGTAGTAGTAGTAGTAGTAGTAGTAGTAGTAGTAGTAGTAGTAGTAGTAGTAGTAGTAGTAGTAGTAGTAGTAGTAGTAGTAGTAGTAGTAGTAGTAGTAGTAGTAGTAGTGGTAGTAGTAGTAGTGGTAGTAGTAGTAGTGGTAGTAGTAGTAGTGGTAGTAGTAGTAGTAGTATTAGTAGGAGGAGAAGGAGGAGGAGGGGTAGTATTATTAGTAACATTAGTATCATTTGAACTGCTTATTTCCAATTATTATTATTATTATTATTCACAATAGTACTATAAATGCTATTACAATCTAAATAAAAGATTTTATCTAACTAATTACTTTAGTCAAAATGAATATCAATGGCTTAAAATTTATTGTATATCTTTTTTAATTAATCGATTTCGTGAGAACAAGAGAAAGAGAGAGAGAGTGAGAGTGAAATAGATCAACAATCTATTCACATGTAGGTAAATAATGTCATAAATATAATCATGATAATTATGAATACTATTACTTATAATATTCTTTAGATTTTAATAGTTGAGATCATGAGTGAATTGAAGTTAGACCACCATGGAAAATATGGAATCACTGGATAGCCATTTGGTCGTATTGTGGAACTGTTCAGCAGTGCTCATCTACGATTATGACTTGCGAGATTCGAACCCAGGAGCATCCAGTGCTTCCAGGTCCTCCATGTTGGTCATGTTTTAAATGACTCATGAACTCAATTATTAAAATTACTATAATATCCACAATATCCTTCTTTTTAATTCGTTTGTTTCTCTTCATAGAGAGTAATAATTGGAATGCTGAATGAATGAAGAAATATCTTTGACTCTTGTGGAGTATAATTGCAGGATGAGGAATTTAGATTTTATAGTCAATTGATCTGGAGAGAAGTAATCAAATGTCATATTTGTCTAGTCCTTTGGCATTGATCAAATTTTATGCATCATATTCCATTATGTCCATTGTCTAAGTGTTTCAACAAACTATGCACCCAGTAAGAACATTAGGTTGTTGGAGGCAATTGTCAGGAGATTCTGTTCCATCTAACCACTAATCAACAAGACGCACCTGCATTTCTGAGATAACAGATGATTTTACTGGACTTGAACCCACATGAACCAGTTTCTCAATGTCAGATATTACTCTGCTAATGGGTTTCAACTAACACGAAACCTAAGTCCAGGGTTTCTAACTTACTACATAAAACCACTTAAAGAAATATTTCTACCAAATAATATTGATCATCAAGTTCATTTGAATATTCTTTTTTTAACCGGTAAGTAATCCAGAAAGCGATAATATGAGCATTACAGGTGGATCTTCTTGTTGTAAATAACAAATAGTCAAAATTCACTAACTTAGAATCTCGAAAATACTTTCGAAGTCTGGTAACAAGTAGTTTCCATCAAATTCTAGAAAGATTCGTGGAATTTCGCAATATCATATCATTTATCAAACTACTTTTGACGCGCGTTTCGTCCTATGTGGGACTCGTCAGCTGGATGTATCTCGGAGTTGATGTTCACTCTGCGACTCGAATCCAGTACTTTTCGCTTCAAACGCCAACGCATTATCCACTTGGAAAAACATCAAAAGGAAGATTAAAACAAACAATACTAAGTATATTATATGGATATTCATATTCTTTTGATTATAAGATTTTATTTGACTTGTTCGTACTGTTGTATGATTTACTATTCTCAAATTAAATTCAGTCTATTAGTCACAGTTTCTCATAATCACAGCCACATTTGGCTTGATCTTGTACAAATAATATTTCCTATTTTATGGTGTGATGTGGTTTCATTTGTTTGTATATATGAACACGGTATGTTTGAAATATATGATTTATATCGCGGAGGCTGAGATTAGTGTTCTGGACTTAACAGACAGAATTAGGAGAGAAAAGGTTCAATCGGGACTCTAGGCTTCTCGTACTTGTGTAGACTTCATTATTTCGGTCTTATAAGTCAATGTATCTAAATCGTTAATCACATTTTGCAATATCGTATAAGCTAAGAATATAACAAAAAAATTAGAAATCTATTTTATAGCCTATAATAAAATACAGCCCTTATATCTCATACACACGAACAAATACAGACCAAGACAGATAATGTAGCAGAATACTCTGAATTCATGTTGTATGATAAACAAGGAGGATCGGATGCTGATGTTAAAGAGGGGATCGGCAGAGCAAGAACTACATTCCTACAATTGAAGAACATATGGAACTCAAAACAACTCTCAACTAATTTCAAAGTGAAGATATTTAATACGAACGTCAAGACAGTCAGTTCTAATGAACGGGGCTGAAACGTGGAGAACTACTAAATCCATTGTCAAAAAGGTACAAGTATTTATAAACAGTTGTTTACTCAACATACTCAACAATCACTGACCACATACCATCAACAACACCCTACTGTCGAAGAGGACAAACCAGCTTGCAGCTGAAAAGAAAATTAGGAAAAGACGTTGGAATTGGATGGAACAAACATTGTGGAAATTACCAAACTGCATTAATAAGCAATCCCTAACTTGGAGTGGTGAAGGGGAGCGGAAAGGCCAATAACACATTAAGTTGAAAAATAGAATCAGATATGAAAAGGATAAATGTTAAGTGGAAACAACCGGTGAAGATTATCTAGGACAGATTTGGATGGAGAATGCTGGTGTGCGGGGTAATAAGCGTACTTAAGTAAATAAGTATAATAAAGTAGATAAGAATGAAATAATGCTACCATATAATACATATTAGTATTGAAAAACAATGTTCACGTAATCATTAATAAACTCACTATATTCCATTTTTCAATCATAATACATGTTCGTGACATACATTTCAGCATATATCATATGAATAATAGATATGTATGTACATGTATATGTTGAAAGATTTTTCTTACCATTTTCAAATTTTCCTTAAACAGAAAAAAGATGTAATTAATTTAAAACAAGAAAATGAAAAACTGCATTATGTCATGTTTTCTGGACTACATTTCGATAATTACTAAATTTCTGAGATAGACATAATACTTCCTTACGCCTGTTACTCCCAATGGAGTGTAAGCCGCCGACCAGCATTCTCCAACCCACTCTGTTCTGGGCTTTCCTTTCTAATTCTATCCAATTTTAGTTCATTCTTCTCATGTCTGTCTTTATTTCTTGAAGCAGTGTGTTCTTTGGTCTTCCTCTTTTCTTTTGGTCACTCCAGTATGAATATAGTTACAATTTACTATTTTAAATTATTTAATCTTTTCTAACGTTAGGTAAAAATTATACATTTGATGCATTGTATTGTGTATTAGTAACATTTGCTTTCAACTACCGGAATTAAGATTCAAACTCATCCCCTGTCACTTACTTTGATTTGAGCAGCTGATTAGTATCAATTGTTCTCAGACCGAAAATGTTGTTCAAATGATGAATAATTTAAATATTTACAATGATAGTGTCCACTATGTAATCAGCAAAGCGAAAGCCGCATATTTGCAATTGAAGAACATCTGGAACTCAAAACATCTTTCAACCAACACCAAGATGAGAATTTTCAATACAAATGACAAGACAGTTCTAATGTATGGGGTGAAAACTTAGAGAACTACTATAAACATCATCCAGATGATACAAGTGGTTATTAACAGTTGTCTACGCAAAATACTTCCAATCCGTTGGCCAGACACTATCAGCAACAACCTACTTTGGAAGAGAACAAACAAAATTTTCTGACATGTGTAAACTAGCACCAATATAGACTAGGGTTTCTTGATGACTACCTCTAACGGCCTACTCAGATTTCAATTAAATCATGTGCTAAGATTATTTTTGCACAATAAGTAACAACAACCAATCAATAAAGTTCTTCATCTTCACTTTGGTTACCTAGACTATTTAAGTAGATTATTCTACCCAATAAATGATCTCCATTGATAATTTTTTTCACTGTTTTCTAAAAACCTGAAATATCAACACATTTATATTCTTTCTTCTTTTGTCCTAATAATCTATAAGTATTACACTATATTCTTCTATATTGGTATGCTGATTTTAATATGTCATAATAACTACAATATAATATTGCTTATATTATAAATTCCAAAATCACAGATTTCAAATACATAGCCCCCCCGTCCCAAAAAAGGACTATCTATTCATTTTACATTATATGATCAATAAATAAAAGTATAATAATCTATGTTTAGATGTAATACGTATATTCATCTACATGTTATGTAATACATGTTATACATACTGGAATAGCATAATCCATTCTTATTCCTTTATGTAACACATCATTCATTCAAAATGGATTTCTTTTTGAATGCCCTTTTTTCTCTTTGTTTTATCAATGTAACAATTAATGAACTTAGACAAATGACGAAATGAAGCCAGTATAATACAACATTATGACAAAATACAAGTCAATTATTTATGAATACTGTACATTAATGATGAATACAAAAAGCTTCTCTTTATTTTGTTTTTCTTCAATGTTCTTTACATTTGGTTTAATGCTAATGGCTCTCTACTTTATATGTTGAATTGCCAATAATTGAAGAAAATATCAGACAATGATTTGTACAATATTCAATGGTAGGTTTGTATAAATTTCAGTTTGTATTGAAGTAAGTCACTTACCTAATGATGAGATGTAAATTCCAGACTTAACGACCTTCGAAAGCACAACAAAATTTAGTTATTTATATATACCGAAAACGTACTATTGGCTGGTATTTACATTTTTTTAATATATTATAACAGTACATTTAACCCTACTTATGATTAGTTTAAAAAACAATGGTGATGAGACAATAATTTATGGATGAAGCAATCAGATTGAGGATAACAGATGTCGAATTTTGGCGTGAAATTCATTCATCCATTTGGCTGAATAGTGTTTAGGCATTTTAACTGATGTCACTTCGTGATAAAAACCCTAGATCTACGTCTGAGACCTATCCGCCAGTTATTAATCATATTTCTAATTCATCGCAGTGGTTTATAACCTTCATGTAGTCCTAGTTAGTAGGTTGACCGCTATATGCTCCATTGGGGAATAACAGACGTAAGTAAGTAAGTAAGTAAGTAGGTGGACATTCTCAAGCTAAATTTAACGTCGCTAAAAGTTCATATACAAATCATAGTCTCACTACAAGGGTTACATGTTTCCCAATTTCGAATAAAAGTAATAACCATCATTAGCAAAAGTAAATATGTACTCTTATTTTTTTGTTTCTGATTCTCTGCGTACAACCATATTCATATTAAAAAAATACAGTAATACCCAATGGCAATAATGGTAAAAACTTTATGGTTCAATAAACGTTTCCCAGCTCCAACTGTGCAGTTTGACAATAAAGATCTAAAAATGTATCCTAACTTTAACTATACAAAGAACATTTTATAAATGTTTATAACTGTCAGTACCTTTTATTTGTATTTTATAACCCCTACATTTTTCCATTTTACCCGCTACAATTATTTTACTATCCATCACAGAAAAGTGGATGGGATTGTTATATATTTTATTGTCATCATGAATCGATCTAAGTAAGACAACTAGGGAAAATCTAAGGTCATTCAACGGTCATTCAGTTCTGGTATAGAACTTTTCAGCAGTGTACACTCATAAAGTCACATCCAGGAATCAAACCCCAAACATTCGATCTTTTACAAAATTTGAAGATAAAAGCGCTCACCTAATCGATAACTCCAACTTGTTTGTATCTAAATGAAAACAAGAGTCTAGTACATTAGTAACATACTGAATAATCCCATCTTGGTCCCATATTATGTAAACAACAAATTTTCAGAACAGAACTACACAAAATGTACCTTCAGCTGAAGCAACAACAATTCTTAAATACTGTTGCAAATAAATTTTTCTTCGTATTAACCTAATGTTCACATTGTAAATCATTTAAGAGAACATTATTGAAATACCTAACAATGTATACTGAGATTTACTTACTTACGTACTTACTAACTTACGGCCTGTTACTCCCAATCCAGCAAAGGCTGCCATGTTTGTCTCCATTTGTCGGCGTAATGTGTTCTTTGGATTTCCTATTCTCCTTTGACCTTCAGGATTTCAAGTGAGGGCTTGGCCTGAGACGCAGTTATATGATTTCCTCAATGTGTGTCCCATCTACTTGCAGTGCTTCTTCTTGAATTCTTCCTCCGCTGGAATCTGATTTGTTCTCTCCCATAGTAGGTTGTTGCTGATAAGTTCTGGCAAACAGATCGGAAGTATTTAGCGCAGACAACTGTTAATAAACACTTGTATTTTCCGGATGATTGCCTTCGTAGTTTACCACGGCTCCGCCTCATACGAAAGAACTGTTTTGACATGAGAATTACTTACCTTGCTATATATATATATATAACATTTTGAATAAAGCAATTAATAATCTGATTATTCACTTATGGTTTTCTCTGTCCATACTACTATTAAAACCATTTAGTTGTTTATCAGACAAGAGGTAAACTCATCTCTATTATTTGGTATACAGGCATATGAAACCAATAATGTTTATTGTGAAAACAGCTAAATAAATAAATAAAAAACAATTTTAATGACCATAATATAAAATAATAATAAATTTCACCTTTAATATAAAATGAATATCATTTAAATTTCTGTTAACAATAGTCGCAGTATTAGCAGTAGTCGTAGTAGTGTGGTGTGGGTTACTGATATCCATATAAGTAGTGTATGGTGATTGTTGAGCATAGGATGTATCACATTAGAAGATCGATAAGGAAAGATTGGTACGAATATGAATGAACAACTATAATCGGAGACTATGGACGGATATTTACAGAAGGAGCGATAAAATTGAGACGACTGATTGTTATTTTGCAAATTAACTATTCACTATATGGTTCTCACATTTTGGTGAGATATTCTGTAATGTTGTGTTAAATTACATTCAATTGTCCCCACTCGTGTTCTTGTTCACTACAGTGGTAGTAGTAGTGGTCGGAGTACGCTGTAATGTATACCCGTGCATGTATGTATGTATGTATGTATGTACCTAAATGTTTACTGTCATATTTCTTTACATGCAACCACTATCATCATACATCTGAATAATATGATAGGTAAAGTCATGTGAAAACCATTCAAACCAATTAGAATGTTTATAGATGATGGATTAACATTGTTAATATATTAATATTATTATCATTTTATCTCCTATAATCTTTCATAAAATAAATCAACATAATATTCAATAACAATAATAATCATAGTAAGCAAAGATGGATAGTGGCTTGAAGTGGAATCCAGGACACGCGTTGCGTTCTATTTGGGACTCGTCAGCTGGATGTATCTGCATCTGGAAGTTGATGTTCACTCTGGCAATCTAATCCAGTACCTTTCGCTTCAAACACCACGTTATTCACTCAGCTACTTAGTCCTGATAGCCATTTGTTTGTGCAATGGGGTTAAGTTCAAATTCACTTAATATTGTTTGTTTGAATCTTCATGGATTTCACTGCCAGTCGCTATCCATCTTTGCTTACAATGTTTGTGAAATAAGGTTATATCGAGGCAATACACACAGTATGCACATATGCCAATTAGAGACTGACCAGTTGCAGTCCCAAACATCAATGGGAAGATCATAATCATAAATTATAATTTGTTTTCTATACTCTTTTATAAATAACCATTTTAAATCATTGTTACTTTGGATACTACTTAAATTACATACTTACAATTTTTTGTGCATATTGGAGGGGGGCGGCGGTATATTTATGTATTTTACATGGAAATGAAAAACTTAAATGTTGTTTTATAGAATAAATTCAACTATTATGTTTACATTTAATAGTGATAGTGATTATTTAATAGGGTTTTTCGTGTTTTTTTTTTTATAAAGTTATCTAGTTTGAGGGATCTGCGTAAATTTCTGTCCACAGAATGCTACTACTACTACTACTACTAATAATAAATAATAATAATAATATAACTGGTGTATTTATTACCTTCACGTATGTGTTTATCCCTCTCTCTGTCTATGTGTGTGTATGTATTTATATGTCTTTGTTGTATGTGTTTACATTTGGGAATAGTGAGAATTGGATAATGAGTGGATGTGAACTAAAGTGAACTAAAAACGAGCATTTATTTATTCATTGTTAATACTACTTATTATTATTATAACTACTGATATATATCATGTTCATACAACAATCATGATATACACTTTATATTAAAAATTTTCATGCAAACATAGATACGTATCAAACAGATTAACATAGATATAATATGTGGATACATAAATGGGATACTATATTGTCCATCTTCCTTCTATATATATTTAATACCTGTAACTTTGTTTGAATCAATCTATCATTAAGCATTGTTAAACAGGTACAACAACATACTACTTAATAAGTATATATTGAATACTGAATATGTATCATTTCATTGATGAACATAAATGGGATACTATTCTGTCCAAAGTCCTTCTATATCATATTTAATTGAATTTGTATCCTTGATACCCTTAACTTTGCTTGAATCAATCTATCATTAAGCATTGTAAAACAGGTACAATAATATACTACATAATAAATATGTATTCAGTATTGAATATGTATCGTTTCATTGATGAATCAAACTTACCTACAATGTATTTCTTCATATTCAATGTTGAATGATGTTTCCGATTCACCATGGATGTTATAAGTTGCAGGAATAATTAAATATATTTGAGAAAGAAAAAGAAAGGAAATAAAATTATCCAAAAACAAAGAGTATTTACTTATATAACTTAATAAGTAGTCAGTTTATACATTTGGTTCCTTTGTGCTTTCATAAGAATAACACATTAGTAAAGAATCAAAACAAACAAAAAGAAAGAAAGTGACAAAAACAACAATTCATAGGTAAGTTATTATATAAGTACTTTTTATTATAATGAATAGTAACTAATTAGTGTTTAAAGAGAAGTAACAATTAAGTTAACCTTGACATTATAGGTAACTTTTCTTAAATCTATTATTTTATATAGTTAAGATAATAAGTTAATTGAAGCTAGACCACCATGAAAAACTCGGAAGCACTGGACAACCGATTTCTCATATTGTGGGACTCCTCAGCAGTGTGCATCCACGATCCCGCCACATGTGATTCCAATCCAGGACCCACCAGTTTTATACCTGAAAATTTAACCAATAGACCACTGAGCCGGCCGTCATCAAACAGTGTTAATGTCTAACTTCAACCAATCCACGACTCATAACTCATGATCTCAACTCTATAAATTCACTAAAATCTCCACAAAACGCCTTCTGATAAAAAACGACATTCGTTTAAAATAAGTAAATTAGCGTTTGTGAAATAATTTTTCCAAAGTATACTTCTTCCTGGAGCAGACGCTATTAATATCATCTAGAACCATAAGAAAAGTATTACAATTTAATAATTCAGTTTAGAGTATCCAGAGTCATAGAATTCTTTTTAACCACTGAAGTCTATATTGCAAAAAAATATCTATTAAAACCTAAGAAGATAACCAGAATGAATTCAAATCTGCTCGAACTAAGTACTAATTTCAAATACCAAACCAATAACAAAAAAACTGATAATCAAACTATTTAACTTAGAGAATGTAACATTTACAAAAATTTCCACTTCAGTTACAAATAGTGACTATTACTCAAGTAAACTAAACGACTAACATATTCATCCCACATATATAATAATGAGGGTATAAAAATTTACATTCTAAGGGGATTACCAAAACATAAATACTTAGACATTCAGTTCATTGTAAAAAGAACTGACTTCAAAGTATGTTTCAACAATGATTTACAAAACTCTCAACTGTCGAAATAATAGATTTTCTTTAGATAAATCATGACAATTATACTTTAAGTTGTTAACATGACAGGGTAGTCATCATGAATGATGCACATAGTATGTTTATCAAACCATTTTTGTTTATAATGTTTATGAATTAAAGCATTCTCTAGACGATACACACAATATGCATATATACCAATAAGAGACTGATCAATTGAAGTTCTAAACATCAATGGGAAGAATCAAGTGAACAATACTAACTAAATTTAAACTTCACCCCATTGCACAAGCAAATGGCTATCAGGAATGAACATAAACTCCAGGATGCAGGTACATCCGGCTGACGAGTCCCAAGTAGGACGAAACACACGTCGTGGATTCCATTACTTACCATTATCCATCTTTACTTAGAAAACCTGTGAATCAAGGCATTAATGAGGTAATCTGTACAGAATGCACATTTGCTAATAAGAGACTGACCAATTTCATTTGTAAACACTAATGGGAAGATTCAAGTTGACAATATCAAGTGAATTTAATACTTCATCATAATACTGTTTTACTCTGTATTAGTTTTTGTCATGTAAAAGAATGTTCAGTGCGTTAACATATGGTTCGATTGCAGTACTGACTGAACGTATATAGGACTTCGAAGATTGTATACTTAGATATTATTATCATTATTATTACTATTTAGATATCTGTTGCAATCTTAATGAATGTATAAAAACTCCAAAATATCCATCACGATAATATATGTTTAAGTGAATATGTAATACATACATAGATTCAAGATACCGTACACATTAGAACGTTTTACGAACATAAACTGTATATCTTAAAAGTATTTTACAAGTCTATTTGCATTATAACTTTTGTCCGGCAATTGTTATTATCTTGTACCCGCCTATTAGAGAACAGTGATTTATCAAACAAACCAGTGATACATGAAAACTGTACGAGCAGTCTAGAGTATTTGTCGGTCCTGCTTTCTGCTTAGCCCAACCAGTTAAGTCCAGAACACCAATCTCAGACTCTAAGGTATGAATCACTATATATCAAACACACTGTGTTTATATACCAAACAGGCTGACTACATTGTATCATAAAATAGAAAATAACATTTGTACAAAATTCAGTCAAATGTGACTGTGAAAGTGGGAGGCAGTAATTAATAGACAAGTGATAACTCAAGAATGGTAAATCGTATAATAACATTATATGAATCAAAATAAAGCTTATAATAAGAGGGACACGAATATGAATAGTTTAGTTACATAGCTAATATACAATAGGAAATATACATATCATATTGGTCCATAAACGGGTCTTAAAGCCACTATTCACTATTGTTATCGAGACATAACACAATTCAATTTATAAATAATCTAGTATTGTATACATCAATTATTAATTTACATGTCATATTACATTATGAATGAAAAATTAATGAACAGAAATTAACCTAGCTTTAAACAAATTCTCGTATTCTAACCCTAATCACGGGCTAAATCCATAACCAATTTCATTTATTATTTTAAATATAAGAAACTATGAATTATATTGGTTTCATTTTTTTTTTTAAATCCGCGGACTTAATCATGGATCAATCTATGATTAGACTCGAGAACGTCGTGATAAAGTCCTAGTACAAAACTATAATAAATAGCGGCAATCAAATCGACATTGGTATAGTATTTCATAGGTGATATGTGATGAAGATCCAATTATGTGGCGAGTTCATCAAGTCAGCTATTAATAAAATTGAGCATGATATATATATATATATACAACAATCAATAACGCTATATAACATCATGTTACAACCACTTTACTTAATAGAGATTCACAAATTTATCAAACTGATTTACCATGTTTCTTTAGTATACTAAAGCTAACATCAGAATTCACTTAGTATTGTTTGCTTGGATCTTCTCATCGATGTGTTTAGGATTGCAACTGGTCAGTCTCTAATTGGCATATGTGCATACTGTGCGTATTGCCTCGATATACCTTAATTCACAAGCATGGTAAGCAGAGATGGATAGTGGCTAGCAGTGGAATCCAGGACGCGCATTTCGTTCTATTTGGGACTCGTCAGCTGGATGTACCTGCATCTCAGAGTTGATGTTCACTCTGGGACTCGAACCCAGTACCCTCGTTTCAAACGCCATCGTGTTATCCACTCGGCCACTGAGTCCTGATAGCCACTTGCTTGTGCGATGGGGTGAAGTTTGAATTTACTTAGTATTGTTTGTTTGGATCTTCCCATCGATGTGTTTAGGACTGCAACTGGTCAGTCTCTAATTGGCATATGTGCATACTGTGCGCATTGCCTCGATATTAAAAGACACCTATAATTAAAACCACACATACTATGTATACTCACTATATTAGCAGACACTTTTTCCTAGTAGTAGAATGCTATAGAGTGTGTTGATGAACAGTATGCTCTATCCCTTTTTTTGGAAGATGGGTTGTCACAATAAAAAGATCTAAGATAAAATATCCAAAAAATTATAACTCTGGATTCACTTCAAATAATGTAGCAAATCAAATATAATAGAGTGAAAACTTTTTTATATCTGCTAAGATTATTCGTATATTTCAATCAAAAATACCTTCAATCATTTGTTAGACAAATGATCACTTAAGATACTACTATTGTTTTATAGTTTAGTTATTATTGTCATTATATTTTTTTATGAACCATTAAGTACTCAATGTATTGGATTATAAATTATATACCTCATTATTATCTTACTGATGTCGTATTTTCTATTATGTTAGCGAAATAGTAATAATTTTAGCAACGGAAACAGATTAAGCTTATTTGTTATCGGAATTGACTACACGCTAGTCTCTATATGGTACCTAAGAAGAAAACAGATACATTAAATTCATTATCTTTTTCAATTTTAGGCATTTAAGTTTTGTTTAAATAAATGAGGGGGAATCAAAAATATAAGTCATCACCATTAGATATAAACTAGATTAGGTGAATACAATATTTCACCTGGTAGTTTATTCAAAGCCTATACATAAATATTAGGGAAAAGATAAGTAAGACACAAAACTTGCAGTTGAAATGCTTGATTTCAATGAGTACGTTTATTAGAAATCTTGGCTAGACTGTAATTTATGGACGAGCCAATCAGAAGCGCTTGAAAGATCTCAAGATCACGGAGCCAACTTTCGTACCTGATGCTCATGTACAATCGGTTCACAGAGGATTTTAGGGAAGTAATGACAATTAAGCAGCTGCAATAAATGGGACTATTAACAAGTTCCTTTATTTGTAATTGTAGTAATCAAATAACTTGTAGACCTTGTACAGATTACCGTGTTGTTGTCCCTAGAAGTAGCAAGACGTTTTGTAGAATAGGAACTTTTTACGCTCGATCCAGATTGAGACTAAGGAATATTATAATTATTACTGCGAACTGAATAATAAAAGCACCAGTAACATTGGCCTCAATAATCGCAGATGTTACTGAAGCTTCGACTGTTCAGTGATGTGAATATTATAGGGATATATGCATAATATAAATGACAAACTTACACAACCGGAGTACATGCAAACAATATTGAAGCTATGTGGTCGAAACTAAGAGGGTTTTTGTGACCTTATCATGGCTCCAGAGACCCGAATATTGTGAAGCCATATGAATGAGTTCCTCTACTTTATGCATTACGATTTAAAAACTTTTGAACCTTTTTTCTAACTTTGACAAGCTTTTAAACCGTATAAATGAAGTTTATCCACTTTAATTATTTGGTTTTAATTATTATGTTTTTACTCTATGATGACTGTTTACTGATAAGCTATTATTTCCCAAGGTCACTTAAGATACCTTCAAAGGTCGTTGC